CTGCTGGGGGTCTGCATGAATACTGTCTTGCACTTTTGCCGCCCAATATGTCGACAACGACTTGACTAATCGCTTCTTGGGGACGCGAAGGCCTCCCGTTCGTTGCAGCCTTTCTTCCTCCGCCTCCTTGGCCTTTCTGCCTTCCTCGGCACGTCGTTGTGCTTCGCCCTCATCAAGCATCAACTGCAAGGCAGCGCTCAGGTCATCTAATTCTCCTTCCTTATCATCCGAAATTCTCAACCCAGCCAATGTCGGGGGGCTCGGCGATCTTGTAGGAACTCTTGGGGGCTTGCTGTCATCGGAGAGAGCTCTCAACTTGTGGCCTCTGATGGACGAGTTTAGATGTTGCACAAGCCTGGGCCTATATCTAGCCATGGTATCCTCGCTTTCGGTGTCTTCGGAAGTGTTGTCTGACTCCGCTTCAGTCTCTGGATCCTGGGTTGTGACCTCAGACCTTCGACTGTCGGGTGATCCGTCAGCCTGTGTCCCACCGAGGAAACTCTCGGCTTCATCCTTCCGAACTTGAGAGCCTATGCTTGATTCGGCGCGAGAGCGAAAGAACTTGGAGAGGAAGCCAGTGGGTTTGCCTGGAGACGGCAAGGATTGCTTCGATGGGGAAGAGAAGTGCACCCTCTTCAATCCTCGCGATTTCTGTAAGCGCTTCAATGCTGGTGACGACTTGTCTCTCTTGGAGATTGGACTTATGATCCCCTTGGGTACAGGATCATCAGAAGTCCCTTCAATCGTCGTTTGCGTGTGCGAAGGCTTTCCTTTCGTTTCCATCTCAGCAAGGTGCTCTCGAATGTAAGCGTAGGTATCCGTTTCCGTGACCGGCATAAATGCCTTTGGCGGGTTTCCCTTCGATTGCCGCTCCTCAGAACCAACCGCAATGTTACTCGCCTCCGAGACTGCCGGCTCCTTCTTCCGTGTATCTGGAAAGTTGCTGGGGAAACTGCCAGGCATGACATAATCCGTAGAGTCGACGCCGAAACTATCGCGCCCTCGAAAGAACTTCATCATCTTGCCAACAAAGCCGGCTTTGTGAACTAGCCCAGGCATTGGTTTCTGCGTTACGATGGCATTCAAGTCAGCGCTGACCCCTTTGATGACCCTTGGTGTAACCCCTGCCTCGATTAAAGACGAGGCACACTCATCAGGCAAGTCATCGAGAAATAGCTTTGCTGCTGAGATGGCGAGGTACTCATCCGGGTTTGTTGCGTAGTCCATTGTCGGTTGCGGAAGCCTTGACATCTCCTTCAACCTGACCAGGAACGTATGGGAGTAAATATGCTCAAGAATCGCCGCAGTCTGCTGAAGAGTCCTCAGATTAGCGCTTAGAGCGTAAAGTCGTCGGGAGCGGGGTTCGTCATCCGGTCGAGAGCTAGGTGAGCTGGTCCTCTCTCTCGCACGGCCTTTCTGGATACGGCGGTCGATATCTCTTAACGCTCGTACGAGCAGAGCAACTTGATGCCAATTCGCCGTTCTTGTGGATTCGTCAACCCAAACAAGGTTTGTCTTTGGAGATTGCGGTTCGGCCCCTCGCTGCTCATCTCGTGAGCTCTCGGTGCTAGCTGAGTCCGTATGAGATTCCAGTTTTATCCGTTTGGTGGTGATGCTGCCACTCTGTTCGTCGCGGGAGCGAAGCTCGACTGCATTATAGTTGCGGGGATAAACTAAGTACGGGTCAGACTCCAGTACAAGCAATAGTCTTGATCGGCAGCGTACCGTAGCCAGCAATGCTGTTGGAAACTTTGGTTACTGCACCGCGAACTGATGTCATGGTATCAAGCAGCCAAGCCGTATGGCCAGTGGCTCTCTGCGCTTTGTTAACCACTGTCCACGGGCTGAAGGTGGAGGAGTGACCAACGCCCTGCTTGTTCAGGCCCAGGGGAATTTGTCGATTGGCTGAGTCCTCCTCAAATTGGGCCTGGTCGGCAATGCCTGCGATCAAATCCCACTCGGAGTCTTGAGCCCGGCGCTTGCGCGACGTGCTCGTCGGTGTTGCCGCAGAGCGGAAAATGCTTTTCCTCCTGGAAGGCGGTAAAAGAATCAACCTATTCCGACCACGTCTCGGCTGTTCGTGGCCCTCAAAGGATTTTGACTCGGCGCTTTTTGGTTCGTCTGGTGTGCGCTCGGTATCGCAGCTAGTCTTCCGGACCGTGAGATTCGCTAATGTTGCACCTCTGCGCAAGCTGGGTTGACCCGTTCGTTCTGTTTTATAGTGGCCGCCGACGTAGCATTTCAGCTGGCTAGGAATTACGCAGCCAGCGAGGGGGTCGCGGGAGTCAAGACCAGGGTTGTAGAGAAGAGCAGAACCGGGAACCGGGTATGGGTGCCAGAGGTATTCGAATGCGGAAGGTTGGATCTGCGCCCGTGAAGCACAGCGCTCGAGGAAATCGGTTGGTTTTCGCAAGAAACCGTGAGGACGAGGGCGGCGACGACGATGCTGAGAGTTGTCTTGCTTCATGGCTGTTAGCTTGCAGGTAGCATGACAGAATGGCTGAGCAGGAGACATGGTGTCATGGGAAGGGCTAAAGATGCGAGGAACTGAAAACGTGAAAGGTGTGAGGGGCGAAAGAAACGCCGGAGCTTTACAATGAATTTGGCGCGGCGTCTGGTAAGACCGGACAGTAGGGGCGGCGGCGAGTTGAGGCTTGTGTTGTTATTGTTGTCTGCGTCGGAATTATTGGAGATGGCGGTGGTGGATCGCGAAATGGAGGGCAAGCGCACGGGCTGAAGAATTGAAAGATGCTTGATATCTTCTGAAAGTTCGTCGGAAGAGGGTGCGGTCGCGGTTGGGGAAGGAACAGCAGTCGCGAAATCCCCATCGGGGGACAGCCTGGTGATGAAGTTGGTGATTTGAGGAAAGAGTCACCACTGGGTGCAACTTACATTTTTTGGTAGCTCAGGAAACCACCAGGCCTACCTTAGGTAGAGAAAGGTAAAGTAGGTACTACCTAGGTACCCTGCCTACCTAGATGACCACCTAGGTAGGTGCCTTCCTGCTTGTGGGTAGGCAGGTAGCCTTCCATACCTACGCCGAGAGTCAAAGACCTCCACTGACCTAATTAGGTACCTACCATACAGAAGGTACAGCGTACCTACCTAATGGAAGTGTCTAGGTAGGTACCTAGGCTGGGCATGGCCCGGGGGTGGATTACCGGGGTGCTGCTCACTGAACGCTCCGACGCAGCTTCAGTGTTTCCGTCCTTCAACCTTCAACCGGTGCCCCGTGGCATGCAGATGCGTGGGGACCGCCCACGCGCTAAGGTACCTTACAGCGTACCTAGGTACCTGCGTTTTTGCTTAGGTTCATTCGATCATCTCACACCAACTGACACCTTACCTACCAGGTATGGATAGGTGCTGCAGTGACTTGAATGCATTCCGACAACAATTAAGATAAGGTAGAGACCAAAGCAACTGCAGTGCGCGCGGATAAGAACATGCACGAGTTGGAAAAGAGTCGAAGGGTCCAGTAGAGATACAAAATTCTAATTGGTACTGATCGCAGGCCACATATTCATCCAAGTGTCCCGACTGCGCACCTCACGGGTTCTCGCCCCTCATCAAGGGCAGCATGTCGCTGCTCCGAGTTATTTACAACAATCAAGAATTCCTCCTCATTCAAACGCCGCCGGCCTCTACATGAATCAAAGCTGGGCAAGAGTCTCTCCTAGCTTCTTCGTGCAGAAGGTGCTGAAGTACTCGTTTAGTGCGTCGACCGTGCCGCTACCCTCCACCAACTTTGCAACCATGCCTACGTATCCGTCTGGGCGCACGACAACAACACCACCCCTTTCCTCGTCCAACCCCATCTTGGCGTGGGCCGCTGCCTTGGCGTCCAAGTGACGGCGGTCCCATCTGTCGTCTGCGTAGACGTGCTCGCGGTAACGTCCGATTACATCCGGGACATCGCGCGAAATCTCGATGCTGCTTCTGCTGGCGGCAAATATGGTACAAATGGTGAAGAAGAGACTGTGTGGGTTGTGCTTCTCGTGATGAGAGACGCTGTCAACGTCGTCTCTGACGTATGCGGCATAAAACGACCGCTTGTTGTTCATGTGGCTGGCGAAGTCCTTCAGGGCAGCCTTCGTGACCGAAGGCTTGCCAGCAAATATGAAGATACGGAATGAACCGTTCAAAGGGACCTCTTGCTCCAGGTGAACAACATTGGCATCGACAACTCTTGTCACGTCGGCATTCATGAAGAGCCGTCCCGTGCGAAGCTTAGTACCTTCGCGGTGAATCAGAGGTGATTTCGCCGGGTGTGATTCGGACCAGTTTAGAGAGTTGGGCTTGTATGCTACACCATAGCCACTGGTAAATTCGCAAGACTCCTTGAAGGTCTGAATGAATTCGTTGTCTGAGCCGTCGGTAATAGCCTTGTCCGAAGCAGCCTCGACTTCACTGGCAGCCGGCGGTCGTTTCGAGAACAGTGCTGCATACTTGTTGTCAAAGTTGAGCAGCGTCTCGGCGACATCTCTGCGCTCGGTCTCGTAAGTCTTGAGAATATCCCGATGGGCGAAACCAGCTTCTACTGCATGAATCTTCCAGGCCAGGTTCTGGGCGTCCAGAAATGCTGTGTTCATGCCCTGGCCAGCCTTGGGCTGCAGTAATTTGTCAGTAACTTCAGTCACGCAACCCAGATACAGTCCGACGTACGCTGTGGGTGTGGCAAGCATCGCCCCCTAGGAAAACTCGATGATCCAATGTGTAACGGTCTGAGATGCCTTGGCCGATGGGGTAGACTGAATACCACTCAGTCCTCTCCCATTCGATGCTGTACGGCTGGAGGATTCGCTTCGCAGATTCCTGAACTTCTTCTTCTGTAGCTGTCTTTCTGGGATCGAAATCGGGATCCGTCGAGGAGGCAATCTGGATATAGAGGCGCACCATGTTGTCTTCTCGAGGGATGACCATGATAGAACCATGCTTGCTGTGGATGGTGCATTTCATCTAACTTCGGTTAGCCAGCGTTCTATCGAGTATGATGATGCCTAGAAGCGTGCCTTGATATCAGGGAAATCGGTCTTGACCACGCCGTCCATGACACCCCATACGTGGGAGATGGGGTCCTTGTGCTTTATGCCAATCTGCAACTGGTTTCTGATGAATGAACGCGCGCCTTCACCTCCAAACAGATACTTGGCGCGCACAGTTTCATGAGCAGTACCATCGACGTGCTCCAACTGGACTTCGACAGGATACTCTGGGTTCTCTGCCTCATTGGAGGTGAACCCCGTAATTGTCCATGGTCGCTGGATTTGAGTGCCGTTCTTGTTGAGGTCAGAGATGAAGACTCGCTCGATGTGGCCCTGGTGCAACAGAGTTGTGAAGGGATACCTGGCGTCGATAAAGCTCGGACAACTGGCCCAGGTGCCCGTTCTTGCGATTCCAGTGCCATTCTTTGGGGGATCCCAGAACGCAACCTCGTATACTCTGGCTGGCTTGTGGGCCATGATGGCTGATTTGAGACCCATGTTCCGGAGCAAATCCAAGGAACGAGGCTGAATGCCGTCCGCTCTTCCGGTCGGTGTCGGCTCAGCTCGATTGTCAATGTGCTTGATCTTGTAACCCCATCTGGCCAAGCAAGTCGACAGCATGAGTCCTACGGGCCCAGCCCCAACGATGACTTTCTCTGTCAGAAGATACGCTTAGAGAGATGGAAACAGTGTCGGCCTTACCGATATCGTAGAGCGTCGAGCCCGACTGGCGATCTGGTTGGGTTTCCATGATGTGAATTAGTTGAGAGGTAGGGTGGTGCTGTTGTAGGGGTCTTGTCAAGAGTTCACTGTGTACTCAGATGCCTGTGGCACGCACTTGGAGAAGCGATGTAGAAAAAGAGAAGAGGAACTTAGGGACGAACGCATTCACGCGAGAATACACGCACAGGAAGTCGTGGAGGCAAGAATGTAGGTTATATATGGCAGCCGGCCGGTTGGCGCAGAATTTCCACATCAACGGACGACTAGGGTAACTGACGACCCGCGGGGAGATCTGGATCCAGTGAGACTCATCCGAAGGGGACCGAGATGCTAAAAGCTCGCCGGCACAGAGAGTCGGTAAGCAGAACGGGGACGGCAAGACAGGCCGGGAACTCCAAATCCCCACATTGAGGCAACAGAAGTATCTCGTTGGGCAGTGCTCGCAGTGGTAGAGGGCATGCCGTTCATTCGATCCGTGTAGGTATGGAGACTCTAGAGTCAGGAAAGGGCACGTCAGGGGGGAAAGGGAGGGGCGCCTGGGTGGCGCATTTGGGGGATGAGATTGAGTCTCGATACTTTGGCTGGGTGCCTATCCCTGCCTGGGGCAACGCAGCCCCGACAAAAGGGACTCGGGAAGTCGAGTCGGCAAGTCGGTGGTGGGGCCGTGTGCTTTGGGAAGGTCCACGGGAGGTATCTTTTGTCCACCTCCGATCTTTAACACTGGACTGCCCTGAGAGATGCCGTCCGCGAAGGCCGATGGGAGCAGCTTGATAGGCCCCAGCAGTCATGTGTGGGCCAAGTCATTTGGGGTTCCCGGAAGTTGGAGAAGCAGTGAGGCAAGTGCGGGGAAGGGGGCTGCACCCCAAAGTGCCCGGAAACGCTGCGGCTGTGAATGCGCCAAACCGAGCCTACCCTGCCTGGCCGCCACGCTGGCACTGAGGATGGAAGGCACGTGGAGAAATGGACGTAGCGAATCCGAATCTGTAATCCGTCCTCATTTGCACTGGCCTTAAGGGTCCACAGGCACGAGGTGGAACAAAAAAACAAAAGAAAAAACATTCCCGTACCATGTCCGGACACGAGTGCCCAATGAGTCTTCCCTCTTTGCTTCCCGCTCAACGATGCCGACCAAAACACCGTAAAGTAAGAAAGAGGGGGGGGGGCGGTAGACCAGCACGTATGTCTCTGTCTCCGGTGTCGCTTCCCTTACCGCCGTACATCCATAGGTGTGGGGGATGGTCTGGGTGCCTCAACTTCAGTTTACTCTGCCTTACTCATCTCACGATGCCGCCACCCACGAGCACCCACCAATACGTCCCCGTTATCTTTCCACAGACCAACAGCCTCCAAAGTCTGTATTCAGGTCAGCAGCCCTCCAATTGCGCACTTTTCTGGGCTCCTGACAACGTCTGTGGTATCTTTGCCTTTGCCCCGCCAACGTCGCAGAAGATTTTGCACTGGGCCGGTGCCAGGGCGCGCTAGCCTCTCATCCAGAGACGGGATCTACCTGGCACAAAGGCCAGCCGAAAGGCACGTACACGTACGTACGCCATCTCTCGAGCTACGGATGCACCACCGATGAGATGGCGCGCCGGAAATGTCAAGTGAACCAAGACAACCGGCCGGTCATCATGATCGGACATCCGACTACTCGGGGGTGCCGGCTTTGAACCTTTGAAAACCAGGTCGGTTCGGTCACCCGGGCTGGACCTGGCCGGGTGAACCTCATCTCGGACCAAGAGTTTCTGCCAAGTGACCGGACCAACCGAAGAATTCCAGTGTCACCATCGGCACAGTACTTGGAGCGTCTGTTTTATCATGATCCTTTTTAAAGAAGTCCTCCTTAATGTTATGTAGACTAGATTCACCAAGTCAGAAAGACCTGTCTGGAAAGGCTCTTTTTCCCACCCACGTGGACCTTCCTGGTTTAGTGGACTGCCTACCTTACCTAGGTACGGTGAGGCGCTCTTGCCCAAAGGAGGTTACCATAAAGTGCCACGACCCTTCCTGGTTCACGTACATATTCTAAGGCAGGTAGTCCGGGCCATGTCGTGGACATCGGAGTCGCTCTGCGCTAGTCACTCCTTACACCACATCTGCGGGCTTCTCCTAAACACAGCACCCGCAGTTGTCTGCGCTACTAAGGCTGGAATTGAGTCTTACCCGGGCAGTTTACCTAGGCCTCTTGCCTCGTCCTGGGCATTCTTCTTATTGCAGATTCTCCGAGCTTCCTAGGCCACTCTCGGAGATCTCGCCGGCCTCGAAAGATGCGAAATCGCCTCAGTCTCCAGACATGGGTCAATTCGACTCCGACAATGCCGCAGTCCGAGCCCGACGAGGATGACTGGCGGCACAGGTTGGAGGCCATGACAAGTGCCTTTACTCAGGATACCCTGTCTCGAAATGGATACGACGAGGGAAGTAAGCATTGGGCCACTGATCTCTCCAGGACCTCGCTCTTGTACGTTGCCGTATACTCATATCGTCCCAGAATGCCGCAATGTCCTTGTCAGATATTGTGCACATATCCCTCGCAACTATCAGTATCGCGACGGTGTTCAACTTGTAATTCACCAGAATCCGAAGTCAACGCCGTTACGAATTGTTAACAGACTCATGATCTGCAGGTTTTCCTAGTTCTGCGCGAGCACCTCGGAGACGAAAATCTGGATCTTGCAGGGGGAGTATTGTACGAATTGATCGAAATCGATTGCCAGCATTCCGATGATCCAGGAGCCGAATTCCAGCGTTGGAAATACGACCATCTTAACCGACATGTGAGTCAACAGCTCAGGGACAAGTGGCTCTCTTGCTGACAATTCTCATGCAGTCCAATCTCGAGTTACCTCACATACCACACATGTCCACAATCACTACGTCCATACGTCCGACGCTTACACTTGTGGAATGGCGCCAGAAACATTCAAGCCGCTATCCCATCAGACTTTCAGACCACTATTTCTCGGCTCGCGCCAGCTCAATTGAACCAAGCTGCATACGCAGTCGTAAGGCCTGGATGATTGATCATACCATGTACGTTTCAACTCGCGAGGGTGGTACATGTGCCTTTCGCAGTCCAAAGCCCAAAGAGCTGCACGAAATGCAATGGGATATGGGAACCATCCAAGCTGGTCGTTTCATCAAAGAGGAGGAGGTCACACCAACAACCGCTTCATTTCCAATGTCAGATCACAGAAGCAGCAATGACATAGTCAACGCCGATACAAGTCAAGCCAAAGCCTCGAAGAACAGCAAAGCAGGCCTTCTATTGCGAGCTTTCAGGAAGAACCACATTGCCCACGTACCTAGTGGTAACGAAGCGCGGCTAGACAACAAACGCCGCAGCTGGCTTACCAACATATTTGGCCTTGATACCGTCCTAACAATTCGCGACTTTGTCGAGCCAAAGCAGGTGCCGCTTCCCGATGGCTGCATGACACCGCACGCCATCTTCGCCCGGAAATTCTCCTTGGTAGCTGACGGGTTACCTTTGCCGTCGTCTTTATCCCGTGAGCTCATGCCAACGGCAGACATAAAGGCCAGGAAAGTGCTCGTGGAAGCTGCGGCGGAGGGTTTCATGGATCCATCCTAGGAGTTTAGGGGTCCGTTTACGCCTCAGCTTGGCTTTGATGGTGGGCTTGATTATCGTTGGATCTTCATGGATTCCACGCCTGCCAAAACCCGTACAAACGGCCGGTCGATTTCCTGCCAAGCTCCGAGCCCTCATCATTATGTCGCCATGAAAACTCCTTCAACGGTCAGAACACCAGGGTCTCAACGAGGCCATGATTGGTTCGGGCTAGATACCCCCATATCTGGGCTCGGCTCACCAAATACAAGTCCTCCAGTTGTTAGCGCCGTGGTTGATAGGCTTCCCAGAATTGCGCATAGCGATCCGGCCAGACGCGAAGGGAGGCACAGTTTTTCGTCAAGCAACAATTGGTTTGGACTAGACGGTGCCATGGATGATGGCATGGCCGATGGGAATAGCTTGAAGACATCAGAGCCAAATCGCGCGGGTCATCGGAGGATGGTGCGTAGGCAATGCGGGGCTGCCACTAATGTCGACGAATCCCAAGCGCCAACAAATTTTCGTTCGGCCTTCCATGCTATCTTGTCTCCTAGACAAGGACCCAAGAAGTGGCAGGACTCGGTCGGCTACGCCAACGGCGAGGAAAAGCGTCGTGTTCCTGGTTGTCGATGGCTGGTGCCAGAGAATCCAAGGATACACCCTGTCGCACGGCATCGTCGAAGTCCAGACCCACAAACTACGGCATGCTCCATCGCTCGATCAACTTCGCTGCCCGACACGTTTGACAAAACCCGCCGACTCGAGCCTCTTTCAATCTCATAGTGCTCTCGATGATGTGAGATTCTCACGTCTCCCTACCGGAGTGATGCTTGGAAAAGCTCGAGAGCTGACGTTCACAAAGCAGCAGCCCGTCCTCCGTGACGTTGGGCGACCGTCCCGGTCGAGCGGTATGGCTTCAAGTGACCAATCAGAGAAGATATCTCACGCTCGAACTTCTTCCCTTCGGAGCCTGTGGTCGCATCAGACAGCTACTAAGTCCGGTGAGTTGTGCTTCTTGTCGCTCCCGGCTGATCTTTACTTAGGCATGAGGAAGTGCTGATACCTGAGACATAGCACACCGCCAACCATCATTCTCCGAATTTTATACGTACGTGTCAAGCGATTGTTCACTATCAGGACGCGTTCCTGCCGGTTCTCAAAGAGCACACAGCATGCCAAGACCGCAAGCTCCTGTGAGCGACTGTCATACCCCTGCAGCACATGGCATTCAGGTCTACTCTCCGTCCGAGGACAGCTTTAAGGAGGCTGAGGGTTCACCTCAAGAAGGCATTGGTGGTGCAAATTTACAGACAGGCAGATTTCGCCGTAGGTCATAGAAGAGGTACATGCCTGCCTACTGTAGCTAAATATGCTTAGATGAGAAATCGCCTGAGATAGAAACTGGCTCAAACTACAGTGACGAACAGTCATTTTGGGACAACGGTGCCGCCGGCCAG